CCATCCATGTTGATAGTGGCACCCACTGGGAGAACAAAACGAGCGATTTGCCGGTCCACATGACAGTTTTCCAACAAACACTTCATGGTGATAGGCAGTGTGGCAGAGCTGTGGACAGGTGGCATTCAAATACAAGATTAATAGGCCCATATTCTGTGTCGTATCGTCACTCCTGAAGCAGGGAATCTGTTTTGCTCAGTTAGGGTTTAGCATATTTGCTATGAACCTTTCCAGGACTAACTAACTGAAGCGTAGGAAGCAGGTTAAAGTAGGGCTGACCTGGAGGAGGTTGCCAGGGCGATGACCAAGGCCTGCAGGAGGCCACGGATATAGCTGAAGGGGTTCTTCCTGGTGAGAAGGAAGTAGAAGAGAGGAAGGAGGACAAGTCCATGAACAAAGAGCCCGGTGAGCACAGTAACGCCGTACCAGCCCAACTTCTTCCCCAGTGTGCTCGGATCCTGCATGTCCAGGATCTTCCCCGCCACCAAAAAGATAATCCCAAATGGAAAATACCTGGAAGAACAGAACACCATTATGAATCCTAAAGGAGCTAAACGTGAAGGTTGTCTCTGAAGCTTAAGGTAAAACTTAAATGTTTTACATTCATTCCTTTCACGTTCATTTCACATATTTTTCATATATACCTTGTTCTTGAGTGGAGTTCAGAGCATTATTTTAGAACATTTGTTCGGGTTTTGCAAGAAAGAGTTACTATATTAAAATAACTCACAAAATATTTTTCAATTTAAAAAATGTAGAAAAAAACCCAGCCTCTCCCATTTAAGATCATCTTCTCAGGAACCTCATGACTGTTCTTCTCCCATGTTTTGATCATTCCTTAGAAGTTATGTTGGGTGAGAATGGTTCTGGTTACGTGTGCTCTCACCAACAGTAGCATTCTTTGAGGGTTGATTCAGACTTAATGAATAAAACCTGTAGAGCTGCATCTGTTTGTGTTGAGCGTTAAGCTTTTAAAGCCTTGCTACAGTTTTAAATCTCCTCATATTTGGTATTTGTCTTGACAGCTGACACATATGAACACAAAAACACAGCTAGTTAAGAATATAATAAAAAATATATACAATGCGTGTTGTTGTGACTATTTTCCACCCAGTGGGATTTGTTTTTGTGGTTTAGTTTAATTAAGCTCACCTTTGTTGGGATAGTGAGATTCATTTTCAGTAATGTGAATACCAGTAAAGTCAAATGAATCAATCACTACAAGCTTTCATGGCTCATTTACAAAGTCAACCATGCACCTTTGATTCAAACACAGGTGTAGAAAGCTGCAATTGTAACATAGGCTCTGCACATCAGTTTGTCTTTGATTGTCAGTTTGAAGTTATTGTGGGGTAAACAGATCCCTAACTGTATGACTGTACTTTCATCTCACCAAACAGCAGCGTTGATGATCTTCATGACACACTCGTTGATGCACTGACAGACATTGATCAGTGGGACTCCTCGCTCTCCCATCCTGCCCAGCAACAAACCTGCAGCACACATAAACACTGATTATGTTTG